TTTGGTAATAGGTATTAATTAAAATAAAACAATAAGCTATGTACTAAAAATCAAAATTAATGGAGAAATGCTTCTAATTCGTTTATGTAAAACGTAGAAAATTGCTATACTATTATTTATGCCAATAAAGCTTAATTAGGTTTAAAAATAAACACTACTGGTATTATGGCAAATGGTGCAAATTTAACAGGTTCCAAATAGATTAATACAGAGACAATGTATGATTATATTAGTTTATTTGGTATTGGTAGAAACTACATCAATACTGCGCAATTTTAATACAGATACTGTGAAAAAGAGGTTTTTTACGGTGCTTCGAAAGGGATATGTAACGAAGAAAATTGTTTGATTGTGGTTAATTTATAAGTTGTCCTCAAGTAACACCATCTTGATTAATGAATACAGTTAACATGTCAGTTATTCAGCTCGAAGAACATGTTTTGTTTAATATAACAACATAAAGCCACCACTTAAGTATGATATAAAGGAAAACTGGAATTCATTTATGTCTATTATGCTTGTACACTGAGAAAAAAAGTGTGGCCAAAACCACCAGAATATGGTCAAATTAACTGTGTTTCTGGTTCATTGAAACCACCAAAAATCTTGGTAATTTGTACCGAATCTCTTTGGTTGCGTCTTTTTGATAAAGTTAAAAATGAAAATTTTTTATTGCCTTGCTGTTTCGGAGCAAATGCGGTAAAATTAGGTAATTTTAAGCAAAAGTCAGTAATTTTAAAAATGTTGTAAATACTTGTTAACATAGTTTTTAGCCGTTAGTTTTTTTTCCTATATTTTTTAAATTTTTGTTTTGAACAAAGAAAAACATATCTTTTTTTTTGCAAAGTAATAGAATAATTTAATTATTTCTGTTGAGATTTTTATTTCATGTGAACTTTCTCTTCTCTGAAGTTAAAATAAGAAAAAGGAATGGTATTACAGGCGCTATTTTTAAATTCATTTGAACAAGAAATAAAAATAATGATTTCGATTGTAATAGATACGATCATATATTATTTGTCGACTGATTCACATATTTTGAAAATGTTACAGGAATGAAAATATTCTTCTGCAAAGTAAAGAAACTGTCCATAAAAAAAAGAAAATACCAGGACAAAGCATTATATTCTTGAGAATAGCATATAGTTGCATTCAAATTTGCATTAAGTAGGAATGAATTCAAGGATGCAACTTTTTTAATTACAACAGAAAGTTTTGCTACAGTAAATGAAAAAGTTTAATTTACGCAAAACTACAGTTTTTCTGTTTGTAACCGGGTTGAACAGCCGACAAAATTTTGAGTTAACGATTATCCAACTCCGTGAACTTGTAAGTTTCAACCCAATCAGAAGACAAAGGAACTCTTGGTTAAAGCATTAGAGCAAACTAAACTTAATGGAAGATGCTAACCCGCATTTTCGTTACAAGGAGAGGAAAACCTCAAAATCTCTTCATGGTTAGCTCGACGTCAGGTGAATTCTAACCCATGATCCGCCTATCAACGAGGAAAAGGGAACTCTTGGTTTAAGCATTAGAACAAACTAGACTTCATGGAGGACGCTAACCCGCATTTTCGTTACAAGGAGAGGAAAATCTCAAAATCTCTTCATGATTAGCTCGACGGCAAGTAAATTCTAACCCATGATCAGCCTATCAATGAGGATATTTAATTTCAGCACTGTTGTCGGTGCTAGAGCCAAATTCATATTTGCCATCTACCATTGGATCTCGAACCTGAGCCACCTCTTTGGAACACGAAAGCTCTAACCCCTGAGCCACCACGGCTCAAAAACTGCACTGTTTGACAATTGTTACTATCCTTAGTTAATTTTTCGATGAACACTGAGATGAATAATTTATAGCTCTTTAATGTTAATTATGATTCTTTTGCACATTTCGTCAGTTTACGGAACTGGTGAGAAAATTTTCACACCAAAATACATTGAATAAAAAAGATTATGCTCATAATTATATAACTTGTTTATCCAAAGATGATTCCACGTAAAAAATTTATTTTATAATAAGTAATTATTTTTTATTATTTACTATACTAATGGGTCGAAATATTGAATTATAAGGTATACAAAAATGATAAAATCTAAAATTTAAATGGAATCCGTTTAATAGTTCTTGATGCATGAAAGTTTAAAAATATAATTTCTTCTGAATGGCGAAATACGGCAAAACTGAAATAAATATCAAGGAGAGCCAAACTCTCTATTTTTTGGTTGCCTTAATTTTTGGGACCATATTTTCTGCTTCGAATAAGCATAAATAAATAAAATCTATTTTACTTCGAATAAATAAAATCTATTTTATCGATTTTAAAGTAATTACAGAATTATAAATTATCAGACATTATATTGTTTATTTCTCAGATTACATCACTGGCTTCTTTTTATCCCGCAGGTAAAGATCAATGTTCACTATAAAAATTCTTTTTAATTTATTTTTATTTCTTTAATCACGGACTTTATTACTTGTGTCTTAACACTAGAAGCGCTATTGGGGTCATTTTAATCATTTTTTTTTACCTTTTCTTATTTAATTTTTAAAGAAAAACGTGAGCTTCAAAGCTCTTTTTTTTACTTTTCCTAAATTGTTTCTAAGTATACTATATAAGACTTTCATGCGTTTAAGTTGATTGTTAAAGTAAATAATAATAGAAATAAATGATCATGAAAATATCTGAAACAACCAAAAGGGGTCATTTTGACTCCCGTAATAAAAACTTTATTTTTTGAAGTTTCATACCTGCTTTTGATTTTGCAAGACTCCGAACCTTGTAAAGATAATTTGTAAAATAGAAATTGAGTTTTTTTAAAAAATGCCATGCAATACAAATTATATGATATCTTAGATTCTTTGTTCGAAATAACTTAGTTGAGCTCTTATTGAATTACATATTCGCTAATGCGCCTGAAAGAAACAACGCACATCCTTCCTGGTTATAATGACTTATTTTTGTTACAATCCTGAACAGGAAAGAACTGTTTAATAGTTATTGCCAGGAAATTTTTAATTTAACATGTATATTATTATATTTTCCTTAGTATATTCGTATAAAAACTAGATTATTTGTGTTTAAGACAATAAGAACTAAAAGTATTTGTTCATGTATGAGAATAAAAATTCTACCGTTTTGATTTATAAATTCGTTAGTTCGTGCACTTTACATGCAGTTTTTTTTTATCTAACGAGAAGTTGTTTAATATTTATTATTATGATAATTTTTAAAAATATTTCGAGCGAGATTCTTTCAGTTGTACACATTATCTTGCTTTTAAAGAGCAATGTTAACTATAAAATGTTCTTTATTTGTAATTGCAACTTTATTACCTGTGTCTTAAACAATAAAAACTAAAAGTAATAATTTAAAAATTAGAGTAAAAATTCTACCACTTTTAATTATTAATTCTTGCATTTTGCATGCATTTTTCATCTAACAAGAAATAGTTTAAGATTTATTATTTTGATTATTTATTTAAAATATCTAAAATGCGATTTTTTTTTTCAATTGTATTGTGTATTTCACTTCTAGAGAGCAGTTTTTACTATAGAAGGTCTAACAAGGAATTTATTTTGATTTGCTGAAGAAGTTGATGATTACTATTATTTTGATATAGTTGGAGAAAAGGCAGCGTTAGTCGAGCATTTATCCTGAAGATATATGATTAGCACATAAAAAATTCTGATGAATCATTGTCGCTAATTATTATTAGCCATTTGTCTAATTATTCTTTTGTCCAAAGTGATGAGGAGAAGAATTTTTAAGAAGAATCAAATTATCATAAATAATTTTTATAAAATGTTTTATTTATGAAATATGATGCTCTAAAATAAACTGGATTCTTCATTTTTACTGCACACATGAATAATTAAATATAAAAAATTTTGCACGAAACCCGGAGGGTGTGGCTGCAGGATCAAGTCCAACAGGACATCTTCAGCCACTAAGTAATCAAAAATATGAGTGTCATGTATACGTTTTCGCCAAAAAAAGGTTAAGGAATCCATGTATTTGGCAACTAATTGATTTTATTTCTTACCAAGACTCTTTTTCTTAACTTTATGAATTCAAATGTGTTGGCGGAAAAGAAAGTGTGGGAAATAATAGCAAATTTTAATGAATTCAAAACATTAGTAGCCATATAACGGTTTTCGATTTCCATCTAGAGGAAATCTCTAAAAAATAGACTTTATTCTGCAATTAATTCAAGGTTGTGGTATTAAAAGTTTATCTATTGTATAAATAATTTAATTTACTGAGAATTTAGGATTAAGTAAGATAATAATTTGGTTTTTAAATGTCAAGAAATGTCTTATACATATTTCAGCATGACAAGGTCTTTTACAATTAAATAGTTTTCTTTAGTTAGAAATTTTATTACTCGTGTCTTTAAAGATAAAAAAATAAAATTAATTTAAAAATTAGAATAAAAATTAAGTCTCTTCGAGTTATAAAATCCAACGTTCTTGCACTTGACAAGTGTTTTTTTATCTAACAAGAATTTGTGTCAAATTCATTTTAGTGATTATTTTTTTTAAGTATCTTTAATGGTGATTCCTTCAGTTGTCATTCAGTTTCATTGTCGCGCTTTTGGTGAAATTTATAGGACTCTTTATAATTTCATGTTCCCAATCAAACCGAAATTGATAAAACTTTTGTGTACATAATTTCATAACCAAAAAAATTTAACATGTTAAAAAAATCGTTTTGATTTTGCGTTTTAATTTTATGCACGTTTCTTCTCAGTTTCATAGAATTTAACTCTCATTGATAGAGAAGGAGTGCCTTCTGTTGAAAATCTATCCAGCCTCTGGAAGCAACAAGTATTCCTTGCTAAACTTAATGCAAAAGTAATAAAAACTTAGTCGCCATGGCAACGACGAGAAATGCCGAGGTACAGATGAATCGGAGAAGAACTGCGCATTGACTGATCTATCCGAAGCATGGTCACTGCTCTTTAACAATTTTCATTCCTTACCTTTTCGAAACTCGTGTTGCACTCTCCTTTCCGTTGACGACTCACTATTCCTCGTCTCAGTTAAATCTCTATTTTGACTTTGAAGCTACTCTTTTAAAAACGGAAACGATGCTGCCATCAAACACACAGAATCCTCGTGATTTGTCCGATTCGTCAGACGACATTACGTCATCGGAATCTTCTGAAGAAGTAAGTTAAAATTAAATTAAATTAAATTAAATTAAATTAAATTAAATTAAATTAAATTAAAAAACACACACTGCAGATAAAATATCCAATTTCAGTGATCTATATTAAAGAAAAAAAGAACGATTTAAGCAATTTTTTTTATTAAAGAACCAAAAAAACATATCGAAATTATCAAGATCTTTAGCATGGTTATTAAAAAAGTTATGAAATCCGTATTAAAGAAAAATGTTTTTATAGTTATATTACCAAAATGATCTTACAAATAATTTTTTATTTCATCTGTAATGACTTTTTACAGAAAACTTATTCATATCTAAAATGTATTGCCAATTGATCAGATAATTTCAAATTATATAGAAAAATAATAAACAATGTAAATCTCTATCATATTCTCATGATGAAACAGCAAAAATATTTTGCAGTGTGGAAACAGAATCGTGCTGAAGAATCGTGAATCCTTAGCTGTTTTAAAATATCGAAAACGTAGAAAACTGTTCTGAATCATAATTAGCATAATTGCATAGAATCTTTCGGTAAATAGTATATTATAATGCTGTGACAGATATTTAATAAAATAAATCACAATAAATTCAAAAAGTTTTACTCGTTCATGTAAAATCAGCAAATAAAATGACCATGTATTTGATAAAGACCGGAAGCTTTGCGTTATCGAGCATATTCAAATAAACTGACTGCAGACTAGCTAATTCAAAATATTTATAATAATCATTTAAATAGATATTACTCAACTGTTTAGTTATTAATATTATTCAATTCAAATATACACATTTGTATTCACAATGAAACTAGTGTAAGGTGACCACTTTTGCGGCATTGTTTTAGTGGTTAACTTATGTGCTCAACTTCTGAAGTGGATTTGAGTGATTTTTTAAATCCTTTTCTACATCACGTTATTCTAATGTAGGCTAATTTATTTATGTTGGTCATGTTATTCATATATTTCTTTTATAGTAGAAACTAAAATAGAAATAAATATAATTAAGTTTGCATTTTAGCATGCCTTTAAAATTTTATTAAATATATAGATTTTAAGAAATGAGAAAAATTACAGAATGAATTACAGCTTGCAACAAAATTTCAATATTAAACTGAATATATTAAAAAATTCTGTCTGAACATATTGTTGGTCATGAAAAGCCTGTTATTATTTATAAATATATTTCGCAAATACCATTACACTAGAGTGTTTTAGTAGCAGTTTTAGATTTTTAGGTAACTTAACACACTTTAAGTAACATTTTTAAGTATCTTAAGTAACTTCACACTTTTAAGTGCATTTATTTCACCATTTTAAAATTGTTTTGTTATACTTGCAAACCTATTTGTCACAAGAGCCTTCACAATTTCATCTTGTGGTCAACTCACCTCACAAAGGGAAATAAGTTAGCGTTTAATACCATTTCAAAAATTTGGTGATATTTTAATACTTGACAAAATAGTAAAGAAAATTTTCTAAAAAAAAAACGAGAAAAAATAACCCATTTTAATTTTCAACATACAATATAGGTGGTCAGATTATAATAGTTTTTCTCCCTTATATTATATAGAATAAATTTGGGTATCGACAATAGAAGTCACTTAAACAGGTGGTCAACTAAAAGTGGAAGCTAACTCATCAGGTTCCATTGTATTCAATATATAATTTAATGTATGTACTGCGTTAAAAGGATTTTTCCTGACTTCCAAAAAGGATAATTAATGAAGAAAATTACTTGAATGAAATAAATTTTCACCGTGGGGTGAGCTGTTATCGACAATGTCACAGTCACAAGTAGCAAGTCAACTGCTGAATGTGAACCATCCATCTAAGTATTCGTGTTCAAACCGTAGTGGAGTTTCTGTCAAGGTAGGCGTGTTCACATCACGTCCGGGTCACCAATGTCGGGAGTGAGTTATCAGCAATGTTAACCTTCATCTATGAAAAGGTACCCCAACATAGAATCGAGTTAGCATGTCTTATATGCTAGTCAATTGGAATAGTATTTTTGTAGTGGCAGATACACTACAATGAGTTTGACGCTAGCGTTAGTATCCTGTCCAATGATACTAAATGTATCTAAGCTTTTTTTCTTTTTTCTTTTTCGGATGAATTAACTTCTAAACAACGAGTTTTGCACACTCCAAAAGCTCGAAGTCATTGAGAAGGGCAATGAATGATAACAGGAAAAACTTGGAATCATTTTATATGGAGTAAATTACTTGAATGAAATAAATTTTGGCCAGAATGAGTTCGTCACGAGCATCAGTATCATGCCGAATGATATTGAATGTAGCTAAGCTTTTTTCTGGATGAATTGAACTTCTAAACAACGCGTTTCACACGCTCTAAAAGCTCGAAGTCATTGAGAAGGGCAATGAATGATAATAGGAAAAACTTGGAATCATTTTATATGGAGTAAATTACTTGAATGAAATAAATTTTGGCCAGAATGAGTTCGTCACGAGCATCAGTATCATGTCGAATGATATTGAATGTAGCTAAACTTTTTTTTGGATGAATTGAACTTCTAAACAACGCGTTTTGCACACTCCAAAAGCTCGAAGTCATTGAGAAGGGCAATGCACGTAATAGGTAAATTTGGAATCATTTAAGTTTCATGAATTGCGTTTTGAAACTTTCAGTTCTGTGTATGATTTTGTACTGTTGTTTAGTTATTAAATATTTTTAACCCCCGTGGCTTGGGTATATTGAGAGTAAAAAATACATAGTCAATTAATCGTTATTAATCAACATTGTGAAGTTGTGCTCAAAACTGAAAGGTATATAATGATGAAATAATTAAGCTAAAATAATTCGAATCTATTAAAGTCTTATAATTTGTTGCTCTTTACGATTTTTTTTAATTTCATTACCATTAATATATAAATATTGAGCAAATTAGATAAATATTGAATAAAATAAATAAATATTGGACTATTCTCAGTGCCATTCAGTTCCGAAAGGAGGCTTTTGATCGTGACCAACTCAAAGATTTTAAAAATTTACCACTATCGCGCATCCCTCCCCCCCCCTCCCCATTGATTTCGCCTTTCAGCAAAAGCATTCCAGCAACAACACATTGTGGTACACGAGGTGTCGTGAAGGTTAAGCCACTAAAATTTAGTGACTAGCGGCATGATTCTGTAAATGTGGTCAATATTTCATTGTGGCTGCTTCTACTTCCCAGACAAGCTGATATCCCTCATTTGAGATCGAACCCCAGTTTCTCACGCTGACTCTTCAATTCCTTAACCAATGAGCCACCGCGGTTCCTGCACTTTAGCAGCGTAACCTTATTTTAATTTTAAACTCAATAACCCTTGGTCTTAAATTGTTTAATTTTATAGAAGCACGTTTTGAAGTTTATCAAAATCCACGTTATCAAGCATCTTGATTCGGTAACTTGGAACTCACATGCCCTCTACATTCATTCTTGATGTGACCTTACAAAGCAAAATAAATAATGGAAACGCGCATTAAACTCCGTTTCTAACTGAACAGAGCACTGAGCTAGCAAACCTCACAGTTAAATGTACGCAAAAACAAAATCATCTACAGTTTAATTTATAACAATTTTAAATGCTAAATCGATTAAAAAATTCAAGACTTCAGACACAAGTTGACTAAGTAGAATGAGATGGGCCGGCATGTAGTGAGAATGAGCCCAGAACGAACAGCATTAAGAGTCTTTAATGCAACCCCCTCCAATAAAAGGTCAAGAGGAAGGCCCAAAAAGAGATGGAAAGACTGTGTGAATGAGGATTTCGCCATCCTAAAAGTAAAGAACTGGAAATAGATTGCTGGGAGAAGGGCAGAATGAGAAAAGCTTCTGAGGAAGGCGCAGGCTCACAGAGGGCTGTCGTGCCAATGCTGACGATAATTCCCTACCTACCGAATTCAGATTCCTGAATCCTGACTAAAAGTATTCTGGAGTTACAGGGGAGACAAATACACTTTTTCAATTTAATACAGATTATTAAATAATTTAATTAATGTTAAACAATTGAACTAAAAACTAGATTAATTATTCCACTTAACTATCAGATTTAATTATTTATGATTTCTTCAATTACGTAGTTCTTTTAAAATTTCTACAGTTATTAAATAGTATAAATATTACAAAATCGTTAATTTGTGACGTTTCTAGAGCATGCAACGGAATTTAAGAATTGACTAATTATTTGATCAAAAATCAAAACGAATATGATAATTGGACCCAATTTCTAAATAACAGTAATCAAAATGTTGTTTATCTACCTTTTAACTTTTTTTTAACATGTTAACTTTTAATTACATTTGAAACTTTTATTTAGATATTAAATTATATGTGCCTTTTTTAGAACTATTCAATAAAAATAATACTAAATAATTAAATATTTGAGTTTAATAATTATTTAAAAGGTATTTTCTTTTAAATTTTTCGTTCGTAAACAGCAAAATATTTCAAAATCGCTAATATATAACAATCGTTAATTATTTTAAGCGCATTTAAATTTTCTAAGCTAATATTAATTTAGAACATAAGTTGCAAAAGTTATTTCATTAATTTATTTTTAAGAAATATAAAGAACAATCAGTTAACAAAACACAAAGCCGAATTCGATAGTGATTTTTGTTATAAGGCGATATTAAATTTTCGATGAAAGGTGATATAAAAATATATTCGGTATAAGATGTTTAAAAGTGATATTTAAAAAATTTACGAAGTTACGTATTGCATATCTTGTTGATCCAAATTGATTTACTGCTCATGTTGTATATTTTTACTGTAAGATCAACAGTTAATAATTCTCAAACTTACTATTCAAATTCTGAATAACCTATTTCCTTGTTTTTTCCTGAACACTTTCGGAATACTTTGCGCAGCAAAACAAAAGCTAACGTAATTTTGAATTCTCCATTTAAAGCGGCAATTCTTACAATTTTTTATTATCGAAAGATTGTAATTAATTTTGCTCCGCTTTTTCTGTTTAAAATTATTATTCAATTTCTATTTAATAAAAAGAAGGACATATATATCTCAGAGATTGTGAATCTTGTCAAAAAAGGAAGAGACAATCGTAGAGTGTTGTTCTCGATAAAAATAATGCTTGAATTATTATTATTTCGATATTATTTCGATATTTATAAAAAGAATTTAAAGTGAGGATATTAAAAACATGAAACTAAATAGAATGAGATAATCAGGGTACCTAATAAAAATGATCACAAATCAAATAGAATTTAGAGTTCCTAATACTGCTTTTATAATACGAAGATCAAACAATTAACCAAGAGGAATCCTGAAAGTGAATGGGCTGGATATCAATTTCTGGGAGAAGAGCAGATTGGCAAAAACTACTAAAAAAAGGCCCAGGCCTACAGAAAGGCTGTCGTGCAAATGCTAATCTCGATAACTAATTTTCCTTTATTTGTATTTCGTTTAATGTTTATTCGCTTTAAATGCATTTAACACTTCGTTAAATGTTTAGATATAACCTCAATGGTTCAATTTTACCCCTTTACCATGATGAATCAAAAAAATTGGCTCATGATTGAGCTCTTGATGACGCCCAGTGATTGAGTGGTAGCGCTTCGTGCTCCGGTGTCACAGGTCCCGGGTGCGATCCTCGGGCCGGGCAAGGTTGGCTCAGCCTTTCATCCCTTCAGTGGGTCGATAAATGAGTACCAAGTTTGCTTGGGAACTAAGCACTGGGGGTTTCGCGTTCGACTGACCACCTAACCGGAACATATGCTCGTGCACCCCAGAGCCCAAGATCAAGAGAACTGAGATGGGCGCAGTAGGCCTTGTCCCGCTACGGACTGTCACGTCACTGAATTTAGTTTAATTTAGTATTTCGTTTAACATTTATTCACTTTTAATGCATTTAACACTTCGTTAAGTGTTTAGATATATCCTCAATGGTTCAATTTTACCCCTTTACCATGATGAGTCAAAAAATGACTCATGATTGAGCTCTTGATGAATCAAAGAACTGGAGTATCATGGTTCCATAAAAAAATATCTAAGCACATGTATTCTTTTTTTTTTAAACTTTTATTTTGATGTTCCATAGGACACGAGTTATGATGAAAGATTTACATGGTGGGAAGGATACAACCCACAGTGAGTATTCTTCATTTTTGTATCAAGTACGTTTACTTTTTCTTTAATGGAAGCTTTTCTTGTTTTATTAACAATAGTTTTATTATTAATAAAATTACATCTTCTAAATAATTTTATTAATAATAAACTAACTTAAAATTGATTATAATGATTTAAAATTTACAAACATAACAATTGATTATATTGTTAATAAATATTTATTAATAATAGTTTTATTATTGATAAGATGAATTAATATTAATAGAGCAATTTGCCAATTTTATTATTGTAGGACATAGTGGATGAAGATTTTTACATATATTTCAGTAAAATAATTTGAATGAATTATCTTTCAATTTCATTGAGTGCCAAAGCGGTTTTAATGAGCCACTTTCTTCAATGATGATTTTAATTTTCCTCGCTTAAGGTGTTGATATGCAAACTCTGAAATTTTTGTTTTATTTTATTTTGGGCGAAGATTCTTAAAGTGCTTGCGAAGAGGATAAATAAGAAAACGCCCTGTGCATATAAATTATTTACCTAATTATGTCATTTTGAAACTATAATTATATCCGATTTCTAACAAAATAATTTTATTACAAAAAAAATTACAAAATTTTGATTCAATGTTGTATACAAGTCGACAAATTTAATATCATGCAAGAAATATTATGAATCAATAATAGTTTAATTTAGTTTTCGCATATATTTGTCAAGCAGCACACAAATCTTTCTGCTTAAAGCAATATCTCTTAAAATTATTCGAAAACAATAATGCTTCTAAGAATTAAAATGATCACAATTATGTGCAGATGTTTTCAAGTGTGTTTCATAAAATTTTTCGAATGTACAGGATGTGCCTTGTTTTGCTTACTTACAGATTAAGGGCATTCGAGTTAAACAATTATGGTATTTAAATTAATGCAAGACATTTTTATTATTGTTCGAAAATTCTAAACTCTAAATAGGAAAATCGCTCTGGGATTGATGTAATGGAAAGAAGAACGATTGACTTTTTCTCTTAATTTTCTTTTGTTAAAAAACAAGTAATTAATTAATTAGTGCCAAGTAATTAATTAGTGCCAAGTACGTTTCACTGAAATCAAATTGTTATTTAGTTAAAGGTTCGATTGCCTAACGTTAAATATGTTAATTAACTTATTAATTTTTTCGATGAATACTTAACCCTCAAAATATACCGTAAGTAGGGAAATATAATTTTAACCGTTTTAGCTGAAGAGCAGTCGAAAATATAGATTTTGTAATTTACAATTACATTGATTAAATTAGCTTAAAAATTCATCTTGTTTAAAATTTTTAGTCGACTTCATCATGTTAGAAATTTTTACTGGCTTTTTGAAAAAATAATGTTGGTACACGTGACGTAAGTGCACCTATCTCTAATAATATCAGCATTAGCTTAATAAATATTATAGAAAATAATAAATATCTGTAAGAAATAATATTTAACTTTATTTTTATGATTTTAAACAAACTTTTTGAATAATTTTTAACTGTTTTTAGATAAACAAGCTTTATAAATAAAGAACTTAGTAGAAGAAACTTCTAAGGGACATTATTTGAGCATTCATTGGATGAAAGAACCGGCTAAGTGACTCAGTGGCAATTTTCCAATAAACAACACTAGAAAAAAATTTTGCTCGGAATCGAACGCGAAAGCGCGAGGAGAAAACCAGCTATAACTGGTTGATACGAATTCTGCATCCGGTCATAGATTAGAATTCCCTTGCCGTTAGGCTGCCGTGGGGGGTTTTCGTGGTTTTCCTCTCCATGTTACGCAAATGCGTATTAGTTATCCATGTAACACAAATACGTTAAAGCAAATGTAGTGAAGCATCAAAAAGTCCTTCACAAAGCAAATTTCTCCCCAATACTTGATCCAGGAGTTTCCCTGTCTTCTGGATTGGGCTCAAAATTTCAAACATTAGTAGTCGTAAATCCAAAAAATTGGATCGGCTGTTCAACGACAGTTATAAAATAAAATGGAAATAAAGACGAGAAAAAGTAACCCTTAAACAGCTTCAGCATATTATTTTGATCTTGGGCAACTTTTTTTAGTTTATTATTATTGTTACTACCTGAATACTGGCTTTTCTTTTTAAAGAAAAACTAACTAATCAATAAATTGGTAGTAATCAACATTGCAAAAAAAAAATTATTATGATGCCACAATCTTTCGACATAATTCTATTTCTCGAGATCAACTCCTAATTGTAAAATTAACCGTGAACCGGTACTTATACCTTTCGGTAAACTATAAAAAAAAAACTAGTTCCCCTGCACTTTTTAAATTGTAAATAAGAAGGGGCTTATCAACAATCTTTAACATGTGAGCGCTTTCTTGAAATATTAAGTGTTAAATCCGAAATGATAAGCATACTTATATGTTTGATAAAACTAATGAAACTTTTTCATAAAAATATGCATGGCTCATTTTGGACAAATGAAGTCTACATATGAACGAAGTATAGAAATAAATAGCCAAACTTTATTTTGCTCTCTGCAAGCAGGCATTGCTGAGCTGATGCAAATTATACTTTGGTTGAAACATATCAAAGCTCCATTAGCATCTGGCTAACCACGAGAGGTTTTCGTGGTTCTTACCTCCATTTTGAGCAAATGCTGATTAGTTTCACTTAAAAGAATTGTTCTTGAAGGTGAATGTAACTTTGTTTGAAACAGATGTTCAATGATGATTCAAGTGAATAAAGCGCATTCACTGAGTGGATTGGTGATGGACGGCAGAAATTCGTGCAGTTGTAAACTAAATTATGAAAATTTGGAATCATGAAGACGTAGTTTACCACGATAGAAAAAAAGTCCAAAAATGTTTAATAAACATTTTTATAAATTAAAATGTGTCATTTTTGTATGAAACTGCATTATTTGTAACGAAAAATTGATTATATTTTGTACTTACTAATCTATACCAAGATATTTTTTGTATTAAAACTAATAAAACTACTTGTATTTAATGTCAGAAACACAGTCAGTGCTATTTAAAAGAATGCTTTTTAAAATAAAAAATTACCGAATTTTCTCCAATAAAAACGATGCATGTCGGCAAAACATCTACTCTACGAAAGTTGAGTTCATGCTGCCTCTGAATCGTTTTTGATAGCCTTTCGGACAAATAGGGCAGGAGAAAATTTGATACCAGTTTGTTTACAATTAAGGTTGTAAATATTTTATTCCATCAATATAAGCCAACATATATGTGTATTTATTCTATCTTTTACCACAAAATTATATTCGATGAGAAACTTTAAAAATTGTCCATGAAAACAAGCAAATGCTACGCACATAAATCATCAAAATCTTCCTTTATAAAAGAGTTAGCACCAGATAAATAGATACCCAAAAATTGAATGAGTTAGACCTGCGCAAACATACCAAATACATAAAGGTTGAACGAAAAAACAAAACTTTAACGCTCATTTACTCAAATCCACTAAAGTGTCACTTAGCCGATTCTTCCATTAAACTCGAGGGCATATGTTTTTTGATTAGCTTCATTAATTTTGATGATATGGTCAAATACGTAAAAAAGTGAAATTAACTTTAAGGAGCCCATACTTTTGTCCCCTCTCAGGTCCATTCAAAACTATTGAGGACAAAATTTCCAGATTGCAACCATCCCAAAATTTTAAGGGTCTTAAGAGCTAATATGGCGATGTAAGAGGTATGTTTATTCAGAGAAAGTACGATTTTCTGTCTGATATTCCTAACTTTTAATGTCATTAACCCTTTATTAATAAGCATATTCCAAATTTAAGTTAAGCCCTTGAACAATTAAGCTGGAGTCTTAGTGCGTGAAAATCTGATTATCAAATGAGAAGTTATTCAGCATTTTCTTCTTTTTATTTTGCAGCCTATCAATGCTAAAATGTGAAAAACCTTAAGAATGTTTTATCAGAATATTATTTGGAAATCGCGTACCAGTAATTACACAGAAAAATGTTTAGAGTATTAAGAATCTGATACTATGGTTTATTGTTCAAATGTACCTTAATTATATGAGGAGAAAAAAGGTTCTGTGCATTAAAATAATGCGTTTCAAATTATCTAAATAATCTTTATTAGTTTCGGAATCATGACATTTAAAAAAAAGTAAGTGTATGTATGTTTCAAATATCTTATTAACTGAGCATCTTTGTAATAATTCATTGTCTTAGAAAGCATAATCTCGCCGCAACACCTGTCAAATTACTTCGCAAAAATCATTTGAGAATTACTTAATACGCTCGAAAAAATATGATACGAATTGTGATTTTCTATCATATTTGAAACACTAAGTTCACCCTTGAGCTCACCCTAAGTTCACCCATTTAGTTGAAAAAAGTATACACTTTAGGAGTTTCAAATCAATATTTGAAGTCTTAAAAAATGAAAACTTTTTTCTAATATAATGAATTACAATGGAGGAAGTCGGAACTGAAAATATCAAAACCAATTTGATAGATTGATAATACTTGAAGATGTTTCTCATTAAAACAGTTCAAAAGACTGTTCAACACAGAGTCAACCATTTATTGTTCAACATCAACATCTCCCCATATGTATATATTTCTGTCTCGCTTTTGACGAATAGTTTGAAGTTTAATATTAAAGCCAATTATTACAAAATATGCTGTTTATTGTAAAGTAAATATCACCACGGTTTTCTTGATTGGTTTTTATAGATAGGGATAAGGCCTTTAAGTGATAAGGCATAAGGATAAAACCATGGTCTTCTTTTTACCTCTGATTATCTGATTAGAGAGAATAAATTGCTGCGACTGACTGCATTAAAAATTTTTAAGAAAACAAATTATGATGATAAAAATACATTCCCCTAAGTTTTTGCATTTGTAATTTAAAATAGTTAATTTCTTGATTATTTAGAAATACATTTTCCAGACAAAAAGTAATTGTTCAACGTTAAATTCTAGATTGCATAGAAACATAAAAATTTTCTTCGGGAAACGGAGATTTTGTTGCTGTTGATCTAATGTATTTAGTGAAATTATACATTTAAGATTGAAGATGTTCTATAAAAAATATTATTAATATAAACGATATGAAAGTGAAACTGTTTAATATTAGTTGTAATACACACAAATAATCATTCAAAGGAATAAATTTTTAGAAAAACAAATCGATAAATATCATTGAGATATTTTTTTTTCTTTAATAACTTTTAATAGTTTTAATTGAATAAAAACTATTTTTTTTTTAATCCTTAAGCTTATGAGTGAGTTATATGTCGGCAAAAATGTTAAAAAAGCGAAATGTTATCCTTGGAGATGTGCCTTTACGTTATTTAAAAAACCAATAAAATATATTTATTTTAAGAAATATTTTTGAAAAAAAAATATATATATTTCAGATTAATAAACAGATAATTATAATCTGTTACAGATTAATAAATATTAATAACTTAAAATATAAAAATGGCTAAATTAAACTTAATTTAACTTTATTACTAACTTATTATTTATTATTAACTTATTTAATTTAATTTAATTTAACTTAAATTAACGTTAATAAAAGAAAGAAGACAAACTTCTTCAACTGATGCTGCCATCTAGCAACTATTATAGAAAATAAGAAGCCCTTTTTACTCATTTTAAAGAATATAATGAAACAAACTTGCTTTTTATTTATTCTTAATTTTTTTGTTTACCTTTTTTTTGTTGGAGAAGGGGCGAAGATTATATTTGGTTCCAAATGAATTAGAATTTCTATAAATTTGAAATTTAAAAATAAATCATCCATGATGATCAAACGACTCTCTATTAAATCCTCGAAAAACAGAACTGTGTATATATATANTATATATATATATATATATATATATATATAAATAAATACTTGTAATAGGTCACATTTATTTCCTATTTGTTTATTTTTTTTATCAGCAATGTAAGCTTTTGATAAAGAAGCAATGTATTTATTTAATGTTGGAATAACTCCTTAAAAAATGTGTTTAAAAATATTAGCTCACATAAATAGATACACTACCCTATAACATTGGAAGAGACACTTTCAGTTTTTGACATTTTTTTAAAATTTATCAAGAAATACTTTAAGGATTTTTTTAGATTACTAATAATACCTTTACTACCTTTAAGGATTTACTTTAGAGGTGTTTAGTTCGTGCGATTTTTCATATTCATTTTTTATACTACTAATTTCATTAAATATCTATAAAGTTAAAACGAAAAAACGTAAGGAGTAAAATTATATTTTTATAAAAATGTCCATATCTCCGTAAATATTTTCTCTAGGTTTACGAAACTCTATGCATTTTTTAAAAATAACAACTAAAGTAACGATACAAGTTACAAGTTTTTTGCTTGATTTTCCGGCGTAGGGTGTGGACTTACTTTTTCTCTTATAATTAATAGGCTAGTGTCGTAGGATGTTCAAAAATACTTTTTTCTCCTTCGTAATTTATTGTAGGTCTCTCAAACCTCTGAAAGCTTTAAATCTTATTGCTAAGTATGAAAAATCACATGAACTAAACACCTCTAAAGTTACAAAATAATCATTTAAGCATTTCTGGAGAAATTTAAAACAAATATCAAAAACTGAAAGTATCTCTTCTGTTATTGTAGGGTAGTGTAAATAATTTATGTTAGTCATGCATTTCTAGTAGTCATATATGTTGATTAACCCTAATAAATAAACAAATAATTCGAATTATAAGGTAATAAAAATTATTATTTATTTAAATTTCAAATAATGATATCTGTTCTGGACGAATCTTAATTTGTTTAATGTGTTTTTCATTTTGAGTATGAATCATACTAATTTACAGTAGAAGAACAAAAAGATAATAACTGACTTATGTAAAAAATGTAGGGGAGAGTTGGATAAAACGGGATAGTCGGACAAAACGGGATACGTCGCCTAGGGACCAGACTATTGCAGCTATCTAGTGGACAACGACAGAAACGTGTTATTCGACCGTGATTATATCATTCTCGGTGCGTCCCGCCTCGAGATCACTATTTGATAGAAAGTTGTAGGTCTCAGAATTTTTTTACTCTATTTTTTCGCCATTTTCTACATTTACGTGCGTTGTTTTTTACATTGTACTGCCTACATATATGGGAATAAAATTCCGGTGAGTATTAAATTTAATTAACCATTTATTTACCAATATTTTTATGTGCAGTCTATCTAATTTTCTTTTCACATTTACGCAGCAACCATGGTTGTTTCAAAAAGTGACGGAGTCGGACAAAACGGGACACTTGTGAGTTGGATAAAACGGGATAGAGTTTTTCATGTCCCGTTTTATCCACCAATTTATTTATTGGATTATTACATTTTAAAATAGCCATATATTAATGTAGGCCTAGGCTTTTTAAACAACTTATTTATATTAACTATATATATTTTTTGAATAATTTAGTCTCTTTATATAGTAATGCAAAATTTGTTTATTAACGTTCATTATTAAGCATTTTATTTTCGACTCTAGGATTTCACATCTTTCTTTAGAACTAATTGTAATGTATTTCTCTGATGAAGACTTTTTTATACATAAACAATTATTATACATAAACAATTATTTATATATTTGCATTATTTATTATTTTATCTTTATATATATGCAAAAAATTAAACATTGTAAACCCTATCCCGTTTTATCCAACCCAGGTATGCTAAAACGGGATATGTAAGAGTTTGGAAATGAATTTTTTTTTCTATTTC